ATGGCTTCTTATGGAAAACAGCACATAATTGGTCATGGTATCAGATACCATGTTAATCTATTCAATCGCCTTCACATGGGATTGAACTGGTATCTTGTGATCTGACCTGCGGAGCACTAACCACTGTGCTATGGATCCACAGGTCAATAAAAATAATTTATATTATAGTATACAATATATTATATATATTGAAAACTTATAAAAATTTATTTAAATTCTTAATATTTTATTAAAAAATTAATATAATTATATTAAATAATATATTAAATTTTTTTTAAAACTAATTTATTGTTTGTTATTAATTGTTTTAAATATAATAAATAATAAAAAAATTTTTTTTTGATTTTAATTAAATAAAAATTTTTATAATTAATTTTTTGTTTTTCTTATAAAATTTTTTATTTTATTTAATAATATAAAAATAAAAATTACAATTTAAATTTTCTTATTTTTTTTGAATTTATCAATTATAATTTCTTTTTTTATTATATAAATTTTAACTATATATTATATATTATTAAAATTTATAAATTTTTAATACAATTAATATAATTATTTAACATAATTAATTAAATTATATTAAAATATAAATAATTAAAATTTTAAAATTGAACAATAATAAAAAAGATTTGATAAATTAAAAAACCAATTAATTATATTACTAGAACTTTTAACAATATTATTGCAATAATATTTTAATACTAGTTTAATACTTAAATTTATTATAAATTTATATAAGTAAGTTATAATCTATATATTCAATTTATTATAGATCAGTAATATTATAATATTATTTTAATATCAGTTTGATATTTTTTCAAAATCTTATATATTGATATAATATATTTTAAAAAATTTTATATAATTATTTTTATATTTATAAATTTATTTTTTAATAAATAAAAATAATAAAATTAATATCCAAATAGAAAAATATTTTTTAATATAAATTTATAAAAATACTTTATTATATTAAAATAGAAATATATATTTATATATAATATTAAATTAATAAAATATTATAAAATATTTAAAAAGTTGTTTTGTTATAAAGAATAATAGTAAATTAATTTTATTTATATAATTATAAGTTTATTTAAAATAACTTATAGATTTATAATATAACAATTAATATTTTTAGATTTATATTACAAAATATAAAATTCAATTTTAAATAAAAACAAAAGTTAAAATAATTAGTTTAGTTATAGATAATACAAATTAAATAATATTTCTATAAAATTTTATTTATTAAAAAATAAATATTATTTTCAGTTTTTTTTATTTTATTTTATTTTTTCCTTTAGTTAAAAATAAAATTATATACTGTATGTTTAATAATACTAATAAAAATCTTAATATATTAGCTTTTAAATATATTTTTGAATTGAATTAATAGCAATAAGTCAATATGGAAGTAAAACTTAATATAGTTTAGTATATACAGTATATAAAATAATCTATAAATAGTAATTTTATAACAAGAAAATATATATATATAAATTGAATAATTCACAAAACATACTAGACAAGATTCAACTAATTAAATAAATAAATAAAAAGATTATTTTTTTTATTTTTCAATAATAATCAATAATATAAATAAAATTATTAATATAAAAAAAAATTTTATTTATTCAATAAATATTATTTCTAGAAAACCAGAAAAAAAACAATATATCTGTATTCATATTCAATATTAATATTTTTATACTTTTTATAACAATAAATAAATATAATATCAAAGGTATTACATGAAATATAAATTAAACTGACTTAATAAAAAAATTATTAACAAAGAAATCAATATAATAGGTTTTAATAAAACAAAATTCTTCAAAAAAAAAAACAATATTTTATATTTCAAGAACAAAGAAAATACAAATATACAGTATTTAAAGTACAAAACCAGATAATTTTAAAAGTACAAAATATAGAAAGATTTAAATATCAATAAACAAAATTGAAAGCTATCTAATAGCAATTAATCTTTTAAACAAAGACTACAAAACATGGATTGCTCAAATATACTTATCAAACAATAAGAAAAGAAATCATGTACTATAAAAGAAGATTCAAGAAACATTCCAGATATACTGTACTTACAAAAATTATGAAATCACAATAATGGAAAATTTCAATGCAGTAATTGATTCAAAAATAGATTGCAAATCATCAAACAATACAAAAAAAATTCACCAGACCAAATGATCCTGAAATTGAATTATTAATTTAATTTTCTACAATGTTTATAATCATTAAAGTTATAATGATTATTGTTCTCTTATAACTTGTCACTTTTGTTGCATGTATCAAAGATTTCTTTTTTCTTTAAGCAACTATTTTATTTATTGTACCTCTGATTTTATATTGAAAAAAACAACAAACCAAAACGCAGATATCTTTGTTTCACGCTTTTATTAATTTACACCATTTGTTTCGCACAAAAAAAGTATACAATTTCATCATTTTCCAATGCAAAAATTACATGATAAAAAAATGCAAACATAAATCATATCAAAAAGCAACAACAATTCTTTTCAGACTAGTTATGACTTGGACCCTTTGAAATAATTCTTTGGTGGAAGACTGACACAAGGACCTTCCGGGGTCTGATTTAGAGAAAAATGACGTAAGAACCAAAAACCGGTGTCTAAAAAAAAACAACAACCTCATGATAACGATTACTGACCACATAGGCGGCAGTGAGACCGCCGTCAACCTTGAATTCAGTTCCTGTGATATAAGATGCATCATCCGAAGCCAAGAATAAAGCAGCTTGAGCTTGTTCAACGGGTTCGCCTAGTTTTATTGAAAATAATAGTGTCATTTAAGGTTCGTCAAAAAATTTACTTCAGAGATAAGGTGATATTATTACCGAAGCGTCCAATTGGTAGATGAACAAGACGGCGGTTTTTCTTTTCTTCGGTATCAAGGTAATTCATTAGTAAGGGTGTTCGAATTGGACCTGGACACAAAGTGTTGATACGAATGTTTTCTCGAGCGTGAGTAACGGCTAACTCACGACTTCATTTCGTGAGGGAGAAGGAAAAAAACACGATTCATTAATGATATAATTGATCAACAACAGAAAAAAAAATCTTAAGGTATCGTTTGGCATACCTCATAGCAATGACCGCACCTTTCGAGGCAGTGTCTACAAGAACGGAATCGTAGATGATTAAAGTTAACTCGTTTATTTAAAAACTTATTATTGATACTTACAAGCTAACTGCGGAGTCGCCGAACCCATGAGGCCAACAAAACTGGCGGTGTTAATGATAACACCACCTGCGTTGTTAGGTTTCCTTCGGAATGCTTCAATCGCATATTTACATCCGAACCAAACACCTTTTAGATTGGTGTTCAGTGTAGCATCCCTTAGAGAGAATATATTTAAAGTATATCAGAGAAGAAAGAAAAACCAATGATAAAAATCAATTTTCAGAAATAATCTTAATTTACCAGACCGCTTCATCAGTGCTTAGAGCATCACCGTCCTCGGGAAGCATTATTCCCGCATTATTAAACATGATGTCAAGTTTGCCTGAGTGGACGTTGAAAAATAAGATAGGTTAGGTGCTTGATCAACTGAGTATTGTAATTATAAAGAATAAAATTTACCAAATTCTTTCAAAGTATCGCCAACCAATTTCTTGACTTCCTCTTCTATAGAAACATCCACTTTACAGGCGAGTGTATGTTTTCTGACATGTAATGGATATTTTTCCTTTATTCTTTCAACCACAGCCTCGGCAGCCTGAAAGTCGATATCAGCAGCGACCACAATTGCGCCTTCTCTCGCAAACAGGATGGCCGATTCGAAGCCAATACCACTAAAATCACCAAGCGTAAATTAAATGTATTCAAGGTGGAGGAGCATTGGAGTTGGAATTCATTAAATTAGTACCTTCCAGCACCGGTGATGATTGCTACTTTCCCATCAAGACGTCCCTTGATATCTTTGACAACTTGGGCTATGGACATTTTGGATAGAAATCAGTGAATATCCTAAGAAACAGGGTGGTCTCTACAAAGGTATTTAATCCAAATTTCGTGTGAAAATTGCGATGATAATAATACGTATCTATTTATTATTATTATTCGGTGTGATGATTATTTGATTTTTGGAAACTTTTTAATAAGTTTAAATAACTTTCTTTATTGAGTAATAAAGGATTGCTTGCAGATCATATGTTTTTAGTATAGAAAAAAATTCAGCCTCTGGTCATATGATAAAACAGTGCTTGTTAATACTGTAATGCGTATCATACAAATTTAAGGTTATGTTGCAGTGCATTTTAAAAAAAAAAAATGTATACTGTATATTTCTTTCCTTCCTTAGGTTCGTACTTGTGTACATACGTAAACACAAAATAAGTGTGCAACGGATAAGATGGTTAACTAATCAACCTTATTCCTTTTTTTTGAAAGGAAAAAGTTAAATATAGAATAGATAACCTTTCTTTTTTTGAGTATGAAGGAAATTTTAATAAACAATTACATAACGGTCAAACGTTAATAGGCATACGTCCATTACGTGAATCAAATATTCAATTCACAATTTCACGAACGCTCGTCTTTCGAGCATAAAAATTTATCTGTTTTTGACGTACGCTATGTTGTTCGATGATTTCTAAAAAAGAAAAAATAGATTTAAATGAATTAACAATGGAACATCTCCCCGGGTCCATTTTTGGCTGTCGTCGCATTGTTCAGTATTGGGATTCTAACATAATTTATTTTTAGGCATTGTGTGAAAATTGTTGGAGCAATGTGCACATGGTCACTACACTACAAATGTAAAAGCAAACCCGGTTGAATTTTAACTCGGAGTTCAACACCTGCGTACGCGTATTGTATCAGTAGGTGATGTAATGTAGTAATCCAGAAAAACGCGATACTTATAATGAGAAACTTGCTGTCAATTTTCTCAATTTTTTTTTTTTTTTTTTTTTTTTATCGCTTGCAAAAAATCAAGTTGCTAAGAAATAGTGCAAATGAAACCTCAACTTGAACCAAATGAACGCGATCGCCATCCTTCCGTCATCCAACGGACAGGCGCAAATCGATCGACTAATGGTTTTCGTTCTCGAAATGAAAGTCCTGATAGAATGGAAGTTCGTCAGCTAAAATCTGATATCCGTAAGTTAGGAAGGTCCATCCTAGTACAGTATAATGAGTGTTGTATTTTTTTTTTTCTAATTTTCCAATGATCTATTCATTTTCTTAAGTAAAATTACAACGAGAAAACGAGGAACTATCGAATTCTATTAAAGAAATCGACAGTGAAAGAAATCTGCTCCTGAAAGAAATCAAAAAACTTGGACCATTAGCTTTTATTGGAGTTTGCGCACTGACATATGGGCTCTTATTTATATTCAAGATACTTGTTAATGGCGAATATTACCAATTTGGTCGGATTAATTGATGCGTGAACCGCCGAAAATAATAAAAAAAGCTTGAATTCTGATTAATGTAGAAATTATAAATTATCTAGAAAGTCTATTAAATTCTGATTGTATTTACAATCTTATGATTATCTTTCAAACTCGTCAAATAAAGTAACAAACCACCTAATCATGCTTAAAGAATTCCCCGAGATTATAAGGCGGAATGTTGGTTTCCCTTCGCTTACCAATGATGTTCGTGCCAAAAATTCTTGGTTTGAAGTTATTACTTTCAGCAGTTTTCGCCATTTGTTCGATATATTTCACTTTCTTTTTTTCTCCAGTAACCTCCTTACAAACCAAACTTAAACTCTATAATAATAACCCTGTTGATATCAATTATTCCAAAAATAGTTGTGCTGGAGAAACAAAAAAGAACGCGTTTAGAGTTAATAGTGATGTTGAAAACAAGGTCGGGCTTGACGACAATTCGAGAATTCAGAATGGCAGGAATATAAAATTCGGAAGGAAGAAATATTTTGTTTCTACATATATCGGAAATAATGATGGCAAGGAGGAAAGGCGATACAGAAAAAAATATTTTCCGGATACTTACATCCGAGAATGATTCTTTAAAATTCACATTACCATTTTTTTTTTGTAATTCTGACATAGCAAATGTGCAGTGTATATGTTTCATTGTTACAATTTTTATTTTCAACAGTGTGTAATGGTTCTGTTTTCCATGAACGATTGGTTTTATGAGTCTTTAGTTCAATGTAAAAGTTTTCTCAAACTCTTAAGAAAACAATCATTAAGCATACACGCAAAGAGAAATTTGTGCTAATTCACAGTCTTTTTATAATACTTTTAATCATGCTTAATTAATTCGACGAATTTTATAGATCACTGTGGTGACAACTCCAAGTTTAAGTAAGGAGTTAGATATTCGCTAAAAAAGGATTGACGCGTGTGAATATTGAGTGCGATTTCTTAAGTGCTTAATAGTTAAAAATGATAATAATAATCACCTGAAAAAACAAGTTGTTAAACATAATAACAGTACACCAGAAGAGAAAGTCATAAATTGAAACCATTTTTTATATGACGTTCTTTCGGA